CAATGAAGTCAGGCTGGTACATAAAAGGTTATCACCTAGGAAACATATTTTCCTAAGCACAAGTTAAACATGCAAGGGAGATCAGCAAAGATATTCAATTTAGCCAGTCAACCCTAACCTATTAATATTTTAACAAAATCCAGTGAGGATAATTTTTTTCTTTGATCCCATTTCATGTGAGCAGCCGGGAAAGGGAAGAAAAATTAAAAACAAAATAGTCAAGCATACAGAATGAGGGTATGTATTAAGTGGGGTATTTAATGTTTCTGGCATTTCATAGCCCAGGGGAAAGTGTGGATGGATCTAACAATCAAGAGCTGTGTTCCCTTGGCCACAAAGTTCGAGAAGCATAAAATAATCTATAGCTCCAAGCTGACAAATCATACCCGACACCCAGCTTCATCTCACCGGGACTCCCAAGATCAGCATTAATCATATGTTACACGGAGTCAAAAGAAAAGCAAATCACACCACACTGAAAGTGAGGCAGAAGGTCTTCCGGAAGGGATTGTAATCAATACTAGGTGGACTGATAACCAGGAGCTACTGTTTTAATCTCCCAATATGAAAAGAAATGAATGCAAAGCACAAAGCCACCAGGAGCTGATGGAGCCCAGGATGTCTTGAAGAACCAAGAGTCGTCAGACGCTCAACTTTCTTTCTTAGTTCGTGACGGGAGATTTTGTTTTCAAAGGGAGTCAAGACTGGCTTAGGCCTCTTATTTCCAGAGTTAATATTTCCTCTCCTCTCAGCACTCCCCTTTTTCTTTAGAGGAGTGTGATTCTTAACCTTCCTAATGCTGAAACCCCTTAATACAGTTCCTCATGTTGTGGGACCCACCCCCACGACCATAAAAATATTCCACTGTTACTTCATAACTTCATAATTTACGAATCATAGTGTAAATAATATCTGATATGCCACCCCCTCCATCAAGACCCACAGGTTAAGAACCACTGCTCTAAGTAGACATGCTGCCTGTACCAGCAGACCTGTGGACAGGGCTGTGCATCACAGGGAATGGTTCTGAAACACCCCTGTAATTCATGAGAAGCCCAGCCAATGCCACTGTGAAGTTCTTGGTCACAATGATGTAACAATGCTATTAGAACTTGAAATGTGTCCTGTCCAAATTCCGGTGTTGATCTTAGAACCCTCACTACTTTACAATGTGGCTTTAATGTGATGGGTTAGGATGAGGTCATGCTGCAGCAGGGTGGACACCCCCCCCCAATCCAATATGAAAATGCCCATAGTCAAAGGAGAAATCGGGACACAGACACACAAGGAGAATGTCATAAGCAGGGGAAGGCAGAGATTAGAGCCCCAAAGACAGTTAGCAAACCACAACAGTGCTTATTCTTACCCACAGCTCTGGGACAGCCAGCCTTGCTGACACCTTGATCATGGACATCTGGTGTCCAGAGTTTGGATGGAGTCAGTTTTAGCATAGGTGCACTGGATTTCATGCTTGTGCATTTCAAAGTTTGAAGATTTAAGGTTATGGCTGGTGTTTATCTTGCCTGGAACTGAAGCCAACACACTGGAAAGCTGAACAAATATATATGAATACCTACCTCAGACAGATGAGGCCTAAGCCCCTGGATCCAATCTTATCTGAAGCTCTATCCTTGGCCTTGAAGTTACATGTTTTATCAGACTCCCATTTTTAAATATACTGGTGGTAACCTTTAATCCCAGCACTCAGGAAGCAGAGGAAGAGGCAGAGGCAGGCAGATCTCTGTGAGTTTAAGGCCAGCCTTGTCTACAGAGTGAGTTCCAGGACAGCCAGGGCTAACAGAGAAACCCTGTCTCAAAAAAAATTACACTGGTTAGAATTGAATTCTGATTACAAACAAAGGACCACTAAACTATTTATTCTAAAAGCAGTCAGTGTGAACTCCAGATAACTTGAGAGACAGGAAGTCTTAGGATAAAGGACATAACCATAAAGGACTTGCTGATTAGATGCCAGAAAGAGATCCTCCAGTATGGAACAGTGTGTGTGTGTGTGTGTGTGTGTGTGCGCGCGTGTGTGTGGTTTTTTCAGACTTAATTCACTTTATTTTTCTTGTATGAAAACCCTTATGTGGTGGCCACAGCTGGAGCCTGGGTCCTCTGAACAGAGACTCTGGTGTGGGCTTTCACAAGATGGTCCGTGAATTCCTGATAAGGAGACTTGGTAAACACAGTCTCTTTCCAGAGGTCGGGGGTCAGGTAGCTGTAGGTCTTGGAGGTGACATCAAAGGTGGCCTTGGCAAAGTTACCCAGGGTGGCAGTGCAGCCCCTGACTGATGTGTAGCAGTCATCAATACCGGCCATCATCAGTAGTTTTTTGGGCACAGGAGCAGAGACGATGCCAGTGCCTCTGGGGGTAGGGATGAGACTCACCAACACAGAGCCACAGCGGCCCGTCACTTTGCATGGTACAGTTTGGGGCTTGCCAATCTTGTTCCCCCAGTAGCCTCTCTGCACAGGGACAGGGACGATGGAAAGCTTGGCCAAGATGATGGCCCCCCCGGATGGCTGTGGCTACCTCCTTGGAGCACTTAACACCAAGACCAACATGATCGTTGTAGTCCCCAATGGCCCCTGAGACCACCGCCAAAGCCTCTGCGGAAGCCGCCACAGCCTCCTAATCCCGGGACCCTGGTCCCTCCCGGCCCTCCCGCTGCACGGCTTCATCCTCCATTTGGTGTTTTCCCGAAGTAGAAGAAGGGAACAGTGTGTTTTTTAGGGAGGAAATGGACTGATTCTGGGCAAAGGAATTGGATTATGAGGGACGTATGTGTTGAATTTCAGGTTTTCTGGAAAAGAAAAAAAGGACTAGGGTAAACATGGCCAGTGAATTCAGATGGACCCAAGAGTGCTCCTTTTTTTTTCTTTCCTTTTCTCTTCTTTTCCTTTCTTTCCTGTTGACGTGATCAAATAAAGCACACACACACACACACACACACACACACACACACACACACACACACACGAAATTAAATGAAGAAAAAAAAAGATAATCCCTCTTAGGCATGCTCATAGGCCCATCTCCCAAGAGATTCTAGATTGGGTCAAACCGACAACTAACCCTATCACAAATGGCAAGAAAGGCTTGGGGTTTACTTGTGGGAACTCCAGGAACAGAACAGAGAGGCCACGGGAGACATGCTCGGAGTGAGAAGGGGGGAGCAAGCACCCATCTCTGAAGGGGGAACTGGGGTTCATGGATGGGGACCACTATCACTCGATGTACACGCTGAGTGCATCAGCAGGTTGGAGGACTTGAAGGCTTCTCCCAGATTGGACTCTCACTTCTAAAATCCCTTCACAGGAACTCAATTGAATGTGGTCGTGTCCTTTGTTGCTTTAAGACTTCCATACTTTTAAGTTAGAGGGGTTGACCTTGACAATGTAAGTCTCTAGCTGGGCCATGTCAGTATTCAGAAACCCCCTGCCTCATCCATTCTTTGCATGCCCGGGGACTTGTGGACTCATCTGGAAAACACAGAGTCAAACATTCATCTTTGTTCAAAGGAATGGCTAAGGCTATCAGGCTGTGACTCTTGGTGACAGGGAGCAGCACACAAAATGAGAGGTGACCGTTCATAGTCTTTCCACTTTGCGCTAATTAAATTACCTGCACTTTAACTGAGAGATTAGAGCTGATATTAGACATACAATCAATCTGGCTATAGATTTCTTTTCTAGATGGCCCATAGTAGGCATTTAATACACTTGAAGCCAAGTGGCCAGTTGAGCGAGAACCCGGACGAACGCCGACCACCGCACTGTGTAGCTCTTGATTCCGGCTTTAGGTTTCTTTGGAAGAGCATGCGTGGGCTTTGTGTTGAGGCTCGGGGTGGATCCGGGGAGGTGGATGTGAGGGCGGGAGGTGGGATTCCATCTTGACCCCTGCTATTATCACCCTAGCAAACCCTCAGATCACCAGGCACCTTTCAGCTCAGTCAGCCCGCCCTTTAGGTTTGGTGTTGCAGACAAACAATGGAAGAGAAAATATTCTCCCAGTTTTGGCCAGCATGGCTGTCAGCTGGACCAAGAGAGGAAAACCACTGCTGTGTACACTCAGGAAAGAAAGCAAAGCCGACCACTGGGCAAGTCTCCATCAGCTGTGCAGAAAAGGAGGCTGCTCAGCAAGCAACACACAGCCGCTGCCTTCCCCTTGCTTCGCTTAAGTTCTTCCTGGACACTAACTTACTTTCCAATCAGCCATCCTGTTTTCAGAAAAAAAAATCCTTGGGCCAGGTGACATGACTCAGTAGGCAAGGGGCACCTAGTGCCAAGCCTGACAACCTGAATTTGATCCCAGGACCCTTATGGTAGAAGGGGGAGAATGGATTTCTCCAAGCTGTTATCCAACCTCTACATACATGCTGTGGGTGCCCACATACCCAAACAGTAAATAAATATGTGTAGTTAAAAGCTGAAGTCTGTGAAAACAAACCACAGTAGGAACTGGAATACAAGCCATTATGAAAGTTCAAGGGTTGGTATTCTAGTACAAAGATTGATCTTTCCACCAACCTACTTCTCAGGTTGGAAGGAGTCTAGGAAGTTGTAACATTTCTTTCTTTCAAAAAATTAACTCTCTGTGAAAATGCATCTTTTTGTGTTAAATCTGTTCTTGGGTTTGCCGAGCACACACACACACGGTGTCCACTGGAGCCTCATCCCCTGTGCTGGCTTGTGTTACTTTTCTGTCACTATGACTAAATATCTGACAGGAGTTTAAGGGAGGAATGATTTCTTTTGGCTCATATTTAGACTGGGCAATCCATCAGGTGGGGGAGGCTGAGAGAGTGTGGGGATGTGGGAGAGCTTGTCACAGGCCAAAAGCAGGGAGCTCGGGCTGGAAGCAGGGCTCATACTCCATGCCACTAATGCCCTATCTAGGACCCACGTCCAAAATCTTACAGCTCACACACACACACACACACACACACACACCCGAATATGCCACCAGATAGATGAGAATCAGATATCCAAATATGTGAGCTGTGGGGAATATTTTTACATCCAAACCATGATCACTTTTGAGAGAAGTTAGGCAGGGGTCATTGTTTTCAGTTGCAAAACAGGTTCCGAGAAGAAAGGTGTATTGCCCGTGGTCACAGAGCTGGAAAAGTAGGGTTTTTCCAGATAGATGCCCACTGGGGTCTTTAAAGACCATTAAAAGCAACAGGCACTTTAGAGCAGTCATCTTCTGACTTTTAGACAAGTCTCAAAGTGTGTCCCCAAGATCAGCAGCATGAGCAGTACCAGGAGCTGGCTGGTGAGTAATTTCTTCATCCTGCTCTTGACATTCTGAAGCCAGATCTGGAGATGGGCTTCAAACCTGCATTCAAACACCTCCGGGATTCTGGTCCATGTTCAGATTTCAGAGCCTCTGTGCTGGAGGGTGGTGGTAGTGTGTGAGTTTGCTTAAGGGCAGGCACCAAAAATTTGAGCTCATCATCTCCCAATCCTTTTAGTGAAGGCCAGAGTCCAAAGCGCTGAAAAGCTTGTTATGACTCAAAGCTAAGACAGCTTTGGCTCTGAGAACACAGGAATAAAGGCCTGCTCGCTCACTCGCTCGCTTGCTGGCTCTCAAAGCCTGGCCCCGAATCCTCTGCCTCTCACACACCATCAGTGCAGAACTGAGCCCAACTCAGCCGCCCGGCTGGTTATATTCTGGAACAGGGTGACCAGTTATTCTGATCCTGTAATCTTTGGAAAACAAAGAGCCTGGATGTCTGGGGTGAGCAGAGGGGGCCATGGGGTTCTCGTTTCATCTGTATCATGCTTGGCAGACTCTGAATATGGCCGTATGTTCCTTCCACTACCCACATTTTCTCCCTCTGGGATTTAAGCGTCCTGCTCAGGGACATATTAATATGCAACGAAAACAAATACAACCAAAAAGATGGGAAGTACAAGAGTCAAAGGCAACAGTGATTATGAAAGTTGAGAGAACAGGATATATATTTTTTTAAACTGGGGTCTGAGTCTGGAGTTTTGCAAATGCTAGGCAAGCAATCCATCACTGAGTTATACCCCAGTTATTTGTTTGTTTGTTTGTTTATTTATTGAGAAATGGGGTTTTACTACATTGCCCAGGCTGGCTTAAACTCATAATGCTTGGTTTAAGCCTAGTGTATCCCTAGTTACAGGCACAAAGAATAGGTTCACATCCCCACCCTCACATAGATTCTGAGGCATCAGGGGCACGGAGAAGACAGGCACCCAAACTCTCCCATCTGTCCTGTGCTGCAATGGCTCAGCACAGAAACTCTGGGAGCAACACAGACTTCCAGAGATACTGTTGAGGCGAGAGGCAGCAGACGGGAGAGAAAGCAGCACTTTCTCGAGGCATGGCCGTGCAGGACAAAGGGGACAGACACCCCACGGGTGGGAGAAAGCAGGGCTTCTGCTGACAGCCAGTTCTCAAACTGAGCTTGGCTGGGCACAGTAGCCTCATTTTAACACTTGGCTCAAGTCAACAGTGTCATTTTAAAAGGCAAATTTTCAGGTACTGATTAAAAATAAATCAGAGCCAGGTGTGGTAGAATATGCCCTTAATCCCAGCTATCCGGACACTGAAGCAGGGAGACAGTGAGTTTAAGGCAACTTAAGGAAACACTGTCTCAAATTAAAACGCACAAGAAAGGATTGGGGATGTAACTTAGCCATGGGCCCACCTGGTAGCCGTCTCCCCTCCTCATGTTTCCTACCTGACCTCAGCAAACATTGGTGCGAATGCGGCCTAACAAAAGCTGCCTCTGGGTTTATGACATCTGACATCTAAAGCCCAGGTATGTTGTACTTCAGGCTAATATGGAATTATTGTCTTCAGGGCAGTTGTGCGCTAGGGAGCAACTGGCATAGAGAAATGGGTGTCCAAATGGGGAATCTTCAAAAGATAGATCATATTCAAGTCTAAAAATCAGTGACCTAGTAAATGCTCATATCAGCAATGCAACAAGATAGAAATGCAGTAAGTTAGACAATTGCAGTTTTTACGAAAAGTTATTCTAATTATTCAAAAATCTTTAGATTTGTTTGTTTCTTGCCTGCCCATCATGTAATTATAAGCACCACACTTTGACTGGATCTTAACATTCCTCCAAAAGCCAAAGGGTTGAAGGCTTAGCCCTCAGGCTGCCGCTGCTGGGCAGGGGTGGAAACACTGGAAGGGGAGCCCTGATGAGAGGTTTGAGGTCATTGGAGGAATGTCCTTGAAGGGGATCATGGGGCCTCAGACCCTTCCTCTTGTTCTTTCAATTCCTAGGCCCAAGGAGAGTTGTTTGCTCCACTCATGATGTACTGCTAGAAGCTCAAAGTAACAGGACCAGTGTTCTGTGGCTGGAAACTTCCAAAGCCATGAGCTTGGCTAGATCTGCTCTCCTAAATGGCTGATCATGTCGGGTCTTCGCTATAGCAACTGAACACTGATTAAGACGTCCTGTGCTCTGGTCTCTGCTGTATATGACCGATACCTTCAACACTCAAGTCACTTACCAAATGTTGTTGGATAAATTCCATTATATGTATTGAGAGTTTATGGATGCAAGTATTTTTAGCATCTTAAAAATATGAAGTTCCCAGAGCATCCCCAAGAAGGAGTTATTGGGAAGTTTTTTCTTATTTTGTATAAAGGATGGAACCTAGAGTCTTGTGCATGCTAGTCAAGCATTCTAACTCCGAGCTGGATCTCAGCTCTCTATACATATTTTTTTTGAAACTAGATATTGCTAAGTTTCCCAGGCTGGACTTGAACTTGAGACCTTCCTAGTCTGTCGTGTAGCTGAGATTACAGGTATGCATCACCATCTAGTTCACCATATTGTTTAACTGATGAGGAAACTGAATCAAAGGACAGCTGACCATCATGCTCAGCATTGTCCAGATGCTGCACAGAACAGCTGGGATGCAGGGAAAGGCACTCGTATGTATGCTGAGATATGTCCATCATGTACTCCTCCCCCCCTGCAGACTGTTATTGTGGCTGTATTTCTAAGGCAGGAACTAATAAACCAAGGGCCCCTGGAGCCAGGCTGGGCCTTGGAATCTCTTTTTCTCTTTTTGATACAAAGTAGGAACTCACCAAGAGCCTGTTGAATCTGTTATTAAAATTGTTATTTGTCTGAGAATAAAAACAGAAAGGCTGTTAAAGAGACCCTGCAAGCTAATGAAAAAGCAAGTTGTTATAAAGATGGAGATCCTCTCACAGTTCCGTTTCTGTTTCCTTTCTTTCATCGCTCAGCATTTATAGGTTCCTGTTTTCCCATATATAAAACTTGGAAATTTTTTGTTTTACTACATCCTTTCACAAGGACCTTCAAGGGGCAAAATGTGCTAGAAAAAAAATGCAAACCATGTAAATATTTATAAAGCTGAAGTTAGTTTACAAGTTCAGAGGGTTGTTTTCTATGCATTATCTCTTTGTTCCCAATGAGGAATGCCATTAGAAAAGTAACAGCTCTTAGAGCCACCAAAAGGAGCAGAGAGAGGCTAGTGCCAAAGATGCCAGAGATGGAGCCAAGGCTGAGCCCGCCTGTTTCTTCTTCTAAGTCAAGGGGAACAGAGGGACCAGAGCCACTGGGGAAAATAGGCTCTACCTCCAGATAACCTTTGTGTATTGGTCAAGGCTCGCACCTGGCCAACCACCCCTTCAAGTGAAGACCAGAGGGAAGGCTCCCCAGAATCTGTGACAAGCGGAAAGTAAAGAGGGAGAATGTCTTAAGAAAGGGGCATGCCAGGTGGTTCAAAGAATGTTCCAGAAACGGCCAAGCGTGCCATCCATGTCAGAGGACAGATGCTGGCAGAGAGATGGAAAGTAAAGGGAATCTGGACTTTGAACATCTTAAAGTACTTCCCTTTGAATTATTGGAAGTACACAAACTTTCCTTGGTGGCCAGTGAATATATAAAGTCCTGGGTTTGCATCCCAAAACAGCCTCTTTTTTTGTTTCTTACGTCTGAATTACACACCGGTCTGGTTGCCTCATGGCTAGAGAGAGGTCATAACTGAGAGGTCTCAGCCTAGCCTGAAGCCAAGCTGTGAGGTCTGATGGTCCCCAGAGTGCAGCTCCTGCTGAGACCAGACTGAGCCAGAGCAGAGGAGCAGAGAAAGGACCCTGCTGCCACGGCACCGTCTCCCTCGTGAAGGGCAGGGCTTCCTTCTCCTTGATGAGTTTCTTGTTTTCAGTTTGGGATTGGATCTTACACCCCAGGCTGGCCTCTACCTTGCTGTGTGGCAGAAGACGTCCTTGAACTTCTGATTCTCGAGATTCCATCTCCTTAGTGCTGGAATTATAGGGTCTCCCCCACCAGGTTTACTGCTGTGTTTACAGGAAGGATTTGTTCATTCTCCACGCTCGCTTGGGCTGGGTGTAATTGGGCACCCATCATCTTGTTTGCAAGACTGACACTTTCTAGTTCTCGAATCACCTTTGAAGTGTCTCTTTGAGGCCTGTCCTCCCAGACTGGGAAAGATAATGGCTTTCCTGTAGGACTCCAGCTGGCATTACCCAGCCTGACAAAGCTTCCCAGTCATCAATAAGGCTGGCTTTTGTGTTGCTGCTATTGAAATCCATAGTCTAAGAAACAGATTCATTCACAAGGAAACAGACAGCTACTAACCAGTAGACGGGAGGCAACAAATGATCGTGTTTTAATACATTATTTATTGCCTGTTCAATTCAAACATCTTTCTTGTGCAGCTCATCAGTTCAGCAACACTGAAAGCCTCTTATTCACTTGCTGCTGTATCAATACAGACAACAAAGGCGTCCTGATACTACCGCAGCAGTCACTGATTACCGGAGAACTTTTTGGTTTTTGCCTTTAGTATTCTGTTTGGAGCACTCTTTTTCTGGGTCAAGCCATTTCAGGGGTGGAAACACGCTTCTTCCGTTCTCAAGCACACATGGCAGCATTCTGTATGTTGGGAGGATATGGGTTTGAACACCGGCAGGTGTATGAACTCCCAGCATGCTGGGGAGACGTATTTGTCTTGTTGTTAACTGAGATGTGCGTGACTTGGCTTTTGCAAATGTTTCCTTTCGGACTCTCCAAGATCCAGCTAAGGCTTTGTGTCCCTTAGCAAGGCTGTGCACACCTGGCCATTTTCAAAGTGCTGGAGGCTGGCCTGGGACCCATCGTCTCAGGCTCCTTAAAGGCCAGGGCTCTTTCTATTTGCCATGGCGGATGGGGTGGAGCCATTGCTGTGCTATAGCAGTCATGACTGCCATTTATAAAGCCACCTGTCCTAATCTGAGGAAAGACCCTTTATGCACACACAAATGTATGTCCCTCCTCTTGGTTTATGGACCTCTCCTTTGTGCTGTGTAGAAACCATTGAGGGATGTTCAGAATCCAAACTTTGTCACACATTATTCCTCTGAGTAATAATGGATTTGGGAGTCTCAATCTAAAGTTCACTGGTAGGAATGAGTGAACCTCGCTCCTCTTACGTGCATGTAACAATGGCCCCTGTCAACATCTGTCAATAAAAATGCATGTAGGGGAGAATAGTATTAGGTATACTCAATTCCATGTCATAAAAGAGTGATCCATATAGTCACCACCATGTTTTGTACATAGAAACATATCCCTACCCCTATAAGATGTGTAAATATACACAGGAAAGTGCACAACTGTCATTTGGGACCCAGGAAAGATAAAACAAAGTTAAGGGTTTCAGTTTATTCCAAGTGCATATTTTAGTTTTGGTAAAGGAGTTAATCCTTTCAGAGATTTGTGACACAATTAGGGATCTAATTACTTAAATTCCTGGTACCAAGTAGGTGATTTCTACCTGATCTTCAAAGCCCAGGCTCCCCCAGACCAAGATGTACAACCTTGACCAAGTCAGTATCAAGCAAGTGATTTAGCAGCTAGTGAGTTAAGAGATATCCTAAAACTATTTTCCAATCATGGTGTCTGGGAACCCAGGGAAGAATCTAGTCATGGGTGTACATTTATTTAATAGAGATTGAAGAAAATCACTTGAAATCTAAGAGCGTTGATATTCTAATTAAAGGATAGATTTAGCTTATAAGAAAAAGTATCTGGCTGGGCGTTGTTGGCACACGCCTTTAATCCTTTAATCCCAGCACTCAGGAGGCAGAGGCAGGCGGATCTCTGTGAGTTGGAGGACAGCTTGGACTACAAAGTGAGTTCCAGGATAGCTTCCAAAACAATACAGAGAAACTCTGTCTCGAAAAACCAAAAAAAGAAAGAAAAGAAAAAGTATCTGGATTTCAGGAGAATATTTTTTCACTTAATCAGAAGCACTTGAAAGAAAAGGGAAGCACATTTGCATATAATGGCAACTACATTTCTGATAATAAAGTCCATGAAATGCTTTCTGTACCAATCAGAATAGGCAGCTGGAAACCTTCCTCTCTGAAAATAAGACAGTTATTCAATGAGTACGTTCACAGGAAAGCTTTCTCATTTTCTTTCATGAAAATAGTAGATTCTGGACAGGTGGTGGTGGCGCACACCTTTAATCCCAGCACTCGGGAGGCAGAGGCAGGCGGATCTCTGTGAGTTCGAGGCCGGGCTGGACCGACAGCCTCCAAAACAATACAGAGAAACCCTGTCTCGTAAAACCAAAAAAAATAAAAAAAATAAAAAATAGTAGATTCTGGAAGTTTAAAATAACTGTTGATAAATATATGGTATTTGCAAAAATTATTTTAGCATATCCATTTATGGAGGCTTTTTAGAGGACTAAGCTCTGCTTTTGACTTTTAGTGCCCTTTCTCATTTGAGTAGCAGTAGAAGGAAGCGATCTGCCATTTGAATTAGCTAATTGCGAAATATGGAATATGTATAAACCTTGAATGATAAAATATTTGGATTAATAAAACAGAATGTAAACACTCTAGAACATTCAAAAATTACTATTCTTGAATCCAGAAAAAAAGTTCATTTGGTGACATATAACATATTAAAATATGTGGTTAAAAAAGAGAAATAGCAGAGACTGAACTGATTAACTCACAATTCTATAATTTATGGAAACAAGGAAAACATCAGAGGGTAAGTTTAAGCTGCTTTGAAGACACATACTTTCCCTTTGTTTTCTGATATGTTCTTTCCAAATATTCTGAAAATTTAAGAAGTGTGTGTTTCAGGTACTTATGGCTAAGTTTTGATATTTGAGTTATTCCCTATTTTCATCTTTCCAAAAATAGTTTATATTTTAACTCTTTTAATTTAGGATGTTAAAGGGGTCCTCAAAAAATGATTCATTGAACCTAGTGAATGTCAATGAATATTTACTGTATAATGAGATCTGAGGCTAACAACATTAAAACTTCAAGTCAGAATGGAAATACGTTTGCTAACTTTTTCCATATAAACAATATTTCAATGTGTACAGAAGTGTTTAGTTCCTCAGTTTTGTGCTACATATGATTTGAAACAGTCTGACCCAGATTGAACCAGTTGGAACCAGTCAGACCTGGATTGAACTGGTAAGAATCAGCTGGAATCAAATTGAACTGGTCTGAACACATCTGAACCTGATGGAACCTGTTGAACCAGAATTTACTGGTTGAAACCTGTCTGAACTGAATTGAACTGGTCTGAACTGGATTGAACCAGTCTGAACAAGATGAAACCGGATTGAACAGGTTGGAAATGATCCCTCCACAGTAACCACATCCACAAATCAAGTACCTGGGAATAAACCAACCAAGGAAAAGAAAGACCTCTACAATGAAAATTTTAAGACACCAAAGAAAGAAATTGAGGAGGAAACTAGAAGATGGAAAATCATCCCATACTCATGGTTTGGTAGAGTTCATAGTATGAAAATGGCCAGCCTAGCAAAAGCAATCTATGGATCAAATGCCACCCCAAGCAAAGGTCCAAAGTCATTCTTGACAGACAGAAAAAAAACTATCTCAAAACGTGCCAGGAGGTACACAAGATAAGGACAACCAATGCAATCTGAACAGAATGAATACTGCAGGAGGTGTGGTCACACCAAATTTTAAATTGTACCACAGAACCATAAGCATATAGCAGCAAAACACTGGCACAAAAATAGACACATAGGCAGATGGAATGAATGAGGACCCACTTATAAGTCCACATAATTACAGTCACCTCATTTTTCACAAAAGTGCCTAAAATGTACCCTGAAGAAAAGACAGCACTTCAGCAAGTGGTGCCGGGAAACTGCACATCTTCCATTCTGCCACACTATGCTCTCGGGGGTACCATGGATGGATGCTGATCTCCTCTGGGGAAGCAGATGACACATCCATCATGCCTGGCACACTCTGTCCCCTTGATGGACTGACTCAGCAGCAAAGGTCACAGATTACAGGACCTTGGAAGCTGACTTTCTAGTCCAGCCCTTGGTGGTTTTAAAAGTTCTAGATCTCCAAACAAAGCTAAATGCAGACAAATTAAGAAACAGCTCCACATTTTACCCAAAGAACAAATCAACTGTGCCAAAACTTGGGTAATACCTGTATTCTGATTGGACCTGAGGTCTGCCCCACAGGAGAGAATTTCATGCCTGGTACTGTGACCCTAGTCAAGAGCCCATGGATTTGAAGGTCACAAACCCTAGTGTGTTGCAGCAGCTTTTCTTGCCAGTACCTGCAATGCCACCCTTCTCAGGCCCAAATAAACACGCTATATTAATTATAAAACTGTTGGTTGATGACTAGGGCTTATTTTTTGGCTACCTGTGTCTTAATTATTAACCCATTTCTATTAAGCTATGTATTTCCATGTAGTCTTGGCTTACCGGAGAATGCCTGGACCTGCTACTCCTTTGTAGCCTACATGGCAACTATGTTTGGAGGGCTCTCTCTACCAACCTTTCTCAGAATTCTCTTTGTCTTCTAGTCCTACCTATCTTCCTGCCTTATTGGCCAACAGTGCTTTTCTTCATCAATCAATAAGAGAAACATATATACAGAAGGACATCCCCCATCACTAGGGTAGACCCTTTGTTGTTTTATTAAATGGCCATCCTGTCAAGTGGTCTTCTGAACATCTATGTTTATACCCACAGACCCAGGCTGCTCTCAGTCTTGATCAGTAGGCAACAGTCAATAGAAAGACGCAGAACTGGTCAAAGTGTTAAGAATAAGAGATTGGGTGCTCATCTTACTTAGGGTTTCCATTGCTGTGAAGAGACACCATGATCACAGCAACTCTTATAAAGGAAAACATTTAATTGGGGGTGGGGTGGGGGCTCACTTACAGTTTCAGAGGCATTATCACCATGGCAGAGTATGGTGGCATGCAAGCAGATGTGGTTATTAGAGAAATAGCTGAAAGTCCTACATCTTGCAGGCAACAGGAAATCAACTGAGACAGTGGGCAGCATCCTGAGCATAGGAAACCTCAAATCCGGCCCCCACAGTGACACACTTCCTCCAACAAGGCCATACCCACTCCAACAAAGTCACACCTGTTAATAGTGCCCCGCCCACACATTGCTGTTCTTTTTCTTTTAAACTTTTTAAAATTACATTTTAACTTTTGAGTGGCATGTGTAATGGTGCTTGTGCGGAGGTCGGAGGACAACTTGTGGAAGTTTGCCCTCTCCTTCTGGATCCCAGAGATAGAATTTACATCCTCAGACTTAACAGCAGGTACCTTCACTCTTTGAGCTGTCTTGCTGCTTTATGCCCTTGTGTCTCTTATACGCAGACACCAGAGGGTGCTGTCATGCAACTCTGAGTCTTCCATTTGGCTGAGCCAAAAGTCTTCCCTGAGTCCATCTCCCATACAGAAAAATCCCAGATCTTAATTGTGAAGAAGAAGAAGGCCTCATGCAATAGTCCCAACCCACCCCTTACCTCTTGATCCTTACCTGCTATTCTTGGTCTCTTGACACGCTAATGTCCCCCCAGATGACAGACGTCTTTATTACTTTTGTACCTTTCTGTCCCTCTACCTGTGACATTTCCCTCTGTGTATCTGTGTGGTGACTAACATGCCTGTCTTCTTCAAGTTGTTGTTCAAGTGTCAACTTCTCAGGAGTCATCTCAAGCTTCCTTACCAAAATTACTACCCACCCCACTTCTGGTCCCTTTTCCGTACTTCTCTCTTCTTTAATGCACTTACCACCTTTTAGTGTCCCAACTGTCTTCATTTCTCTCTGCTTTATCATTCTTCCTCATGTGAGAGGAAAGGAAGAGATGGGTCTATTTTCTCACAATCACATCCCTCAGCTATCTAGCAATGCTTCAGAGGGAGCTACTAGTCACATGGAAGAAAGCCGATTTAGATTTTTGAGGATATGTTAGTCAGGGTTCTCTGGAGAAATAGACTCAATTGTGTTTATATGAACATAAGAAAATACAGTATGAGGGATAGGCAAACGTGACTATAAAGGCTAAGAAGTCTCATGCTCTGCACATGAAAGCAGGGGCCCAAGAGAACTAGAGATATAGTGTTAGGCTAACCTTGATGGCCTAAGAAACCAGGAACTGATTATTCAAGTCAGAATCTGAAGGCTAGAGCAATGCAGCGCTAGTAACTAAGGGTAAGAGAAGCTGATGTCACTGGGCAAGCAAGAATGAGCAAGTGCATCATACTTGACTTCCTCTGCCCTTCTGTTGTCTGTGATCCTTGACAAGTGCATGGTGGTGCCTACATCCATCATATAGGTTGTCCTTAGTCTACTGATTCAGAAGCCAGTCTCTTCCAGGAAATCCCTCACACATAGCTCATGTTTTGCTCAAGATGATCTCAGAAGTAAAGAGTAATGGCCAGACTCTGAGAAAATGGGAACAAAAGAGAGGTAGAGGGAAGATGGTTAATGGAATCAGGGGTGCAGCTAAATAGAAAGAGTCAGAGCTAACATTGTAACACAAAGTGGGGGATGTATGGTTGACAACAATTAATAGTGTTTTTCAGAATAGCTAGCAGAGGAGACTTTGAAAGTTCCCAACAGGGAGAAACAATCAATGTTTGAGGTGATAGAATGACAGCTCCCCTGAGTAATTATTGCAAATACTGCGCCCTGTAAGAAGAATGTGTCAACAGATAGAAGGAGTAGTCAAAGAAATGTTTTTATCAGCTATCTGGGCATCTATGAGCCCAGTCAAGTTAGCACATCTAACCATCGCAGACATTAAGCAACAAAAAGTAAGCACAAAGAGCAAAACAGCAGTTGCTGCTTACCTGAAAGGGTCTCAGGATTCAGAACCACAAACTGGAAACCTGCAAGAACCAGAAATCTTAGGTCCACAGGGGAAAAAAATCATAGCATGCTATGACTGTGATTTCCTTTATCGTTGCTCATACATTCAAAACTTAATGCCTGAAGAGCTGAGGTCTAATGACAGTCACCACTACCAAGGCCAGAGCTCAGAGAAGCTGGGGACTCCTTTTTGGAAGGGAAATTTGTATGCTGCACAGAATAAATAGAATTAAACATCTGGCCTCTCTGTGTCATTGTTTTAACTGAAGTAAGTAGAGTTGCCAGGAAGGTCAGCTCTTTTCAAAAGATGAGGAAGAAGAAATTTGATGGGAGATGTCATTCTGAAATCTGTCTCTTATTGATTGTTGAATAAAGCACTGTTGGCCAATAGGAAAACAAGTTAGGTGGGACTAGGAGTCGAGGAGGACTCTGGGAAGGAGAAACACAGGGAGTCACGATGTAGACGACATAGGGGTAAGAAGTCCGGACCCTTTCTCCGGTAAGAGAAATACTTAGATTAACAATTATGGAGTAAATACTTAAGTCAGAGATACCCAGTAAGGAACCAAGCAAACCGCCAATAGCTTCACAATTAATATAGCCTCCTGTGTGTTCTTTTAGGACTGATGTGGCTCTGGTACCAGGCTGGTGGGAAGGCTTCTCTCTACAGAGATTAATAATAATAATAATAAACCCAAATGCATGAATGTATTTCATTGTTCACTACACAGACTTTACAACAGGTTCTTAGTCACATCAAAGGTACCCAGTTTGACTCACAAATAAAGTGCAAATTGAACTGAGACTGGAACAGCATATCTTACTTGTCATTTTAGCAAAAGTCCCCAGTGATTTCATCAAGTACCACTCTAGTTGTTATTATGAAGGTATTTTCTAGACATGATTAAAAGACTGGCCCTTGACTTTAAGGCTGAGCTGGTAGGTCTGATTTTATCAGGCGAAATGTCTGAAGAGCATAACTGAGGTTTCCAGGGGAAGAAAAAAGTTCCACATGTAGATAGCGGCTTCTGCTAGAGCTCAGGAATTTCCCTGTCCTCCTCACAGACTGCCCTCCAGATGTGGGTGGGACTTGCCTAGCCAGTCCCCACACTGCATAGGTAGTTCTTTGCAAGAAAACTACACACACACACACACACACACACACACACACACACACACACACACACACACACACACACACAATGTCTCTGGTTGAACAGGGACTGACTGGGGAGGAGCTGAAGAGATGACACAGCTGTTAAGAACACTCACTGCTCTTCTACAGGACCTGAATTTAATTCCCAGCACCTACACAGTGGCTCATAACCATTTGTAACTCCAGTTGCAGGGGATCCAACGCCCTTGAAGCCCTCTTCTGGACTTTTTGGGCACCAGGCATGTGCATGGTACATAGACAGACATGCAGGCCAAACACCCATACACATAAAGTAAAAATAATACATTTTTTAAAACTTGGAAAAGAACTATGTTGAGAATGTCTTCCCACTCTACGTGGGCTCCATGTTTATCAAGGTCTCTTCCTTCTAAAACTGGGAGCTCTGTTGGGATTAGCAACAGGTTCTAAGATGGGCCCATAGGGTACTTGCCTCTGTGACTTGCTAACCAAATTTAGGATTTGTCAATGGGCATGAAATGTTCATAAGCAGTTGCTTTGATGATGCTTCACAAACAAAAAGAGGGGCCCTGGGGGAGTAAGGAAGGTTGGGGAGGGGCTGGAATTTTATCCTACCTTCTCATGTGTTCCTATTTGGGAAAGAAAATCTAGTAAATCCCTTGGAGCTCTGAGAATCAGACAATACCAGGCTTCCAGCTGGACACTGTAGAAGCCAAGTGCCACACCCCACTGCAAGACTCAGTGGGGTCCAGGACTTCCCATTTTCAATAAGTCTGAGTGATGCTGAGGATTGTGGGTATGGGGGCTGTACCCTCACCAGTGTTAAGGCAACAACTGAATGAGAAAGATGCTGACAGTCCATGGTTTATTAGGCTAAAACAGGCCTGCCTGGATCTCACACTCCTCTGCATCTCTTCTCTGAACCTAGGAAGTTGACATGAACTTCTAGAGATGCCTGACCACTCTAGGATGAGGTAAGAGGCTCCAGAGTCATCATCACTTTGAAACTATTTTGAAGAAGACCCACCTCAGTGTCCCTAGATTATAGTCACTGATGTGAGACACAATCTCGACATTTCCTAGCCAGACATCTTGGCAGATGATTTAACCTCTGTGCTCCTAATTTCCTCATCTACGAATGGGAAGAACAAGAATTAGCTACTTCCTGGACTGTAGTCCATGAACATGGTATGCACAAAGTGGTGGCTCATAGAAAGCAAGAGAATTAGTCTACAAAAAATAAATAAAAATAAAAAGGTACAAATGAGGAGGTTACAATACAAGAACTACACACAGAAGAGTATAAAAATGTTCAGGTACTCAGAGAGGAAACTGCACCTCTGGAGGTCAGAGAGATCCACAGCTTGCAGGATGGCCACCCTGGAAGGAGCTACTGTAATCACAGAAGGGATAAGACGCTGCCAGGGATTCTGTGTCAGTGAAGGATGGAGGAGGAGGAGGGGGGAGAGGGAGGAGGAGGGGAAGGAGAAGAGGGAGAGGGAGAGGGAGAAGGAGGAGGAGGAGGAGGAGGAGGAGGAGGAGGAGGAAGAAGAAGAAGAAGAAGAAGAAGAAGAAGAAGAAGAAGAAGAAGAAGAAGAAGAAGAAGAAGAAGAAGAAGAAGAAGAAGAAGAAGAAGAATTATGCTGGTATCTCTTTCTTCCCACGGCTGTTCTTCTGCAAGGTCTCCGATTAGCAATAGCAGAGAGCAAGAAAACCAGCTACAGTGTGGTCCAGTGTGCAGGAGTCTACCTCGCACAGGGTAGATCAGAGAGAGAAACACAAGCAGTGGCAAGTGGAGGATCTGGAACACAGTGTTGAATAGGTGTGTGGTTGCTACTGGATGAAGATTTACACCAGTTTCTTGGAGATTTCAATTTAGGCTTGTGGTATATTTTCGATCTTAAGCATATTTCATATCTCAGGGGATGCTTGCTCCAACGCTCCCAAACACCATGTCACTTGGAGGACAAGTTGCACAAGCACTCTAGTCATTATCAAAGTGTGGGAGAATCTGTGCTGTGGCAGACTTGAATACTTTCTCTCTGCCCAGTGCAGCATTCCTGGAAGTGACTTCTCCCTTAGAACGGGAAGCCAGTTCAGTCACTTGGATCCGACATGCTGAAATTAGCATTTGGTCTATTGATCAGGTAGGTGTTACATGGGTGTGTCAGGTGGGGAAAGACACATCTAGCACACCCAGAACAGCAAACATTTGTGATATGTTGGCTTTTTCTTATTTATATCATGCAGCAATAAACGTGCTTGCTGTTGTTAAGTCCCCAAGCCATATCCCTTTCAGAAGCAATCAGCCTGGCTGAGCCAAGAGCCCAAAGGGAGGCTCTTTTCCTGGAGTGGTGTAGAAAAGCCTGGAAACCTGGAGTCTCTCTGAAATACTGTATCAAAGGCCCAGCCCAGCACACAGGGCAGTAGGTATACGAGGCCTGCCTCTGAGAATTCTCCAAGGAGGCCTCAAGGAGCCAAGGCACACTTAAGAGGAGCCAAGGCACACTTAAGCCTGCCTCCAAAGAACCCAAAGCTCATCCCAGGCTTGCTTTGTCTGTTTAGCAAACTCACTGCACACCTCACCCGTCTTTGCGCCTACCGTCTAGGAGGGTCTTTGAAATGTATTTTCTCCTTTTAGCCTGCTGTATTTTTAATGTCTGAGTGAAAGAACAAAGGAAGGCGAACACCAGACAAGATCGTTTCATTCCTCCATGAGCCGCAGTGTAGCTCCGCTCAAGCTCAGCTAACATCAATGTTTTAAAATTCCGTCTTTGCTAGGGAACCGGTGCTGGGGTTAGTCATCCACGCCCAAGTCAAGGCCCTGTTTCTGCCTTTCATTTGGGGACATAAAAGGCCCGTGCATCAATCATTAACAATCTATTAACACTAGCAGCTCAGAGAGGTTTTCCTGGTATGGTCAACCTCACTGGAATAAATTCCTGCTGCCCAGCTGGCCATCTGTCCGTGTGATCCGCCCGTACTGGCTGTTTTCAGCTTTGAAAGGGCTTGCTGACTCCTCTTTCATCTCTCCCTGAGTAATAGATACCTGGTAGGCTGGCTCTCCTCCTCCCCCACTGTCAGCTTCCCCACCTGCCTCCCCAGACTTCTGGCTTGAAGAACGGCTTGCAGGAACACTGACACTATTGATTGTGTGTAAGTGGCATGTGGGGCTGCTGGACGTCTACCTGGATTTGCAGGCAAGAGGATAGGGCTGGTTCATCTACGTGCAGCAGAGCGGGGAGGGTCTTGGAGGGCTCCGCTTGGTGCTCCGCACTTAATTGGTTTGCATTTGAAGCAGCACCAGTGGGCAGGAAGAGGTCTAGCTCATCAGTCAGAACCTGCTTTGGAAAAGGCTGGTGGACTGGACGCACATCTGGAAGTTCTGCAAGACCTGGAGAGTTTTGGTCTACACCTTCCTTTCCCCCTCTGTGGCAAAATACACATGGCACAAAGGTGACCGTTGTGACTGCTTTTAAAGATAGACTCGGAGACGCTGAAGCAGCTCCGCGGCATTGAACCACAGACACCTACAGCTTTCATTAATCTTCTTAAGGCTCTCCATGCATCCTCAGCCAGTAAATCGCCCTGTCTCAGCCCCGACAGTCCTTAAAAACCACTGTTTGACCTCTGTCTGAGTTTAACTACCAGTTTTATATATGTGAAGCCACACAGTATCTGCCCTGTGACTGGCTTCTTCCAATGTGCATGCCAGCATTTTATAATAAATAATTCTATGATAAATAAACCATTTTATTTATAAGTAATTATTTATAATAAGCAAATACTATCTATTTAGTCATTTACTTCACCACATTTTGCATGTCCGATCACTTACCCGTGGATGTCCTGTTGTCTCTCACTTTGGCCGATTGCGAATGTTACTAGAAACAGGTGTGCAGGGACAGTCCTCCAGAATCTCTGCTCTTGATTGTCTGGGTTAGAAACCCAGAGGTAGACCGGCAGAGCACCTGTCAGTTCCGTGTTTAGAATTTTCAGGCTCTGTGGTACTGCTTTCCATATCAGTTTTCCTGTGCCTTACCTACCCCCAGCGCTATGCAGGAGGTCCAAGTTTCCTAGGGATTACTGAAGTGCCAATGCTCTCCCCCAATGCTTTTCTCCCCTCCTCCTCAGGCACCTTAATGGGATGTTTAGCTGAACTCACCCCTCAGCTGCCTCTTGTATGTGATTGATATCTAGAAGCTCTGTGGCATTTCTTTCAAAGTAGAGTCTCATCCTGGTCCAGCTGGTCCCTCCCCAGTATCCTCCATTTTCCTTTTGCCGCAGGGTGCCCTGGCTTTTTCTTCCTTCAAAAACAAAACAAGATTCCGTGGGAGGTGCACATGCCATGTGGTGTGTCCATTTGTCCATTATGGACTAGGGTTGCTTCTGCCTTCTAGATAATGTAAATCATGTTGCTAACAATGTGGGTTCACAAATATCTTCCCTGGCTCCTGCTTTCAATTCCTCTGGACCCGCTGGCAGGTGGGAGAGAAGTTTCTGTATCTTCAGGTAAGTCACGCTTATTTTTTTTTGTTTGTTTTTTTTTTTGAGGAACCACCTTGCCGTTTATTCCCATCTAACTTTCTGTCAGCAACACACAGGGCTCTTGCCAACAGTTGTTACCTTTTCTTGTTATTGTTTGTTTTCATTTTAGTACTGACTTGGATACTGAGTCATCAAATGCCCTCACCAGTGAGGAAGTCACTGGTCTCTGGCCAGCTTTCCTGCCTGGAAGCCATGCAGCTGCTCTCCTCTGACTGTGAGCGTAAGTTCTGACCGCGGTGTTCTTCAACTTTCTGATGGCTGGGTCTCATTTTCTTGGTGCCTGTTTCTTCACCGCACAAATAGGAACAGTGTATTCCTCTCCTTTCTCTCAGAGAGCTGCTGTGGTAGACAAAGGTGTTGCGCACCGGCTGAAGGGCTGGAGAATTATGGAATGAGAAGACTCGGGGTGGTGAAATAAGGCAAGTCTTTGGCCCCAAATCTGATGGATTCCTCCTCCCACCAATCTTTGGAGCTGACCGTGGCAGCCCTTATATTGACTCTTAACGCCTTACACAGCTGAGTTTCAGGTGAGAATCATCCACCTAGCCAAGGACGCAGCACCCACCTGCTCAATAAATACCTGGAGAATAACTAACTTAGCGGAATGGGTGAAACGATAAGAGTAGTGAGTAATAGACAAGCCCTCGCATTAAGTCAAGCCTTGAGAATAGAAAATGTTATCTCTACCACCCGCTGATTCTTCTACCTCGTTTTACATCACCAGCAGCTACTAATTCTTTTTCTTGCCTTCTTTTTCTTTTTTACTTTCTTTGCTTTTTAATTACTAAGGCACCGATAAAATAAATATGCTGAAAGCAATAGTCTAAATCACAACCCTGCCAATGAGATAGGTATGATTAAAGCATACATTTGTTCCAGTTTGGAACTATCTAATTCCAAGCCCAATTTCCCCTTAGTAGAGCAGCTATTTTGTTCATATACGTGATGGATGCCTGTCCCGTTTAAAGCCAAATGTGCTTGCATTCAGTGATTATTGAGAACCTACTAAACACCGGACACTATATGTTCTGGGAGTTAGAAAAGCAAATACGTCATGTACATTAGTCAGAAGAGGTTGTTTCATGCTGCAGTAACAAGCCTGCTCGGAAACGTAAAGCAGTGTGTTGATTTCTCTTTTAACTGTGTGTCCACCACTGGCCAGCAGGGGGCTCTGCAACCAGATTCCGTTATTCAGAGACTGGTGTTCAAAGGGCGCTTCTGTGTTTCTGCAGCAGTGGGGAAGGGAGGTAGTAAATCATGCACTCATTCATTAAGCTTCCCCCTGGAAGTAATGGGTCACTTTTGCTTACATTCTATTGCTTGAGGAGTGCCTACCATGTGCTGGATGGAAGAAAGAAGTGGGGTGTTTGTCCGGCACATGACTGCTACCCCCAACTCACTCTTTGTCCCTTGGGAGGACAAACCTAAATCACTAGCTCCACAGCACTGTGCTGTGCAACAGTTGGTCTGACAAAGGAGACAGCTAGGGAGTGACTAACAGCTCAGTGACGCATGCAGCATGGTTGTGCTAGGCTGTGGCGTGATTCATGTCCTGGTTGGGGTGGCAAAAGATTTCATCATGCTACACAGGACACCACGCAATTCGAAACTTAGAATTTTTTTGTACTGGAATTTTCCATTTCATATTCTGGGTTCTCACTTAACCACAGGTAATTGAAAACTTTGAAAACAAACCCCTGGATAACTAATGTATATCCCAAGAGGGGAAGATGGGCGTCCCAAGTGATACAAAAAAAAAAAAAAAAAAAAAAAACAGCAGGAAGGATCGGGTATGGGAAAACATGCCTTGCCCAGGCACATAGACAAGACATCCAGTTTGGTCAAACAGGCTTTTCTCGCACACAGGAGTACTCCTGCCTGTGCATGTGTGTGGATATGTGGGCCGCCATTATCATATTGGCTCCCAGTTTTCTATAACACACTCCCCAGGCACTGTCCTCTGTCCACCTGATTCCAACGCTTCTTTGGTCCTCACTGATATGATGTGCACTGTCAGTAGTGTCTAGAGCCTCGGGGTGTCAGAGCAGACAGAGTCCCAAGGCTCCTGACTGGACCAACCATTATCAAGCAGTTTAGATGCTAGATTCAGAGGCTCCAAAGAGAGCACAGGGAAAGTCCGAAGTGATTGCAACAGGACCAAAACCCCAGCACTTAGGGAGCTAAGGCAGGGGGGTTGTGAATTTGGCACCAGCCTGGGCTGTTCTCAAAAAAAAAGCTACAAGTTGGAGAGGAGAGAGGTCACAGCCGGGACAGCAGCACACTCGAGGGATGTGGGGGACTGAATGGTAGCCATACATACACACCCTTCAAGTCTACCTTCAATCTGAGAGGGGGCTGTCTTATTTGATCATTTCAAGATAAACTGATCATGGACTTAAGGTGGGACCATGAATGTGATGGATGACTGGGGTGGTCAGCTTTCCCGCTGCCCCGGGAGGAAACTGAGGCATAGGTTAGGCTGAAATGCTGCTACTCCTGTCACTACTCAGACCTGCACTCCTCCCCTTTAATTTCTCATCCAGGAAGGACCTGAGAACCCCGGGAGAGGTGAATAGCGTGAGGGTGGATGCCGTTTCTCCTCATTCCCTCCCAGCCACCTCTCCCTCCCACTGGTCCCTCCTGTCTCCTTGTTTGTGATTCCTCGCTGCCTTGTTTAGCTATCAGAACCTGTGCCAAAACCCAAACTTAGCTGCTGAAAGCTCCTCGCCAGGATGCCTCTGAAGTTAATGGCAGAGTCTTTGAAAATGACCTTAGAAGCAAATCATAAGCAACAGAGGACACGAAACTACCTCAAGTCCGTCTGCCGGAGTGCGAGTCACCTCCAAGCTTCCATCCCCATGTAAAACAGAAGATATGATTTATAATTTATGGCGCGTTGGTGCAACCCTGATTGAAGCAAACCACTTTGATGAGGAGTTGGTTTCATGCTAGTGGAACACCACTCCAAATCAGAAAATATTTAGAACTCCATCTCCTCTGCTCCGACTCTGGCTTTGAAGTAGAGAGATTTGTATTTTATGTGCTTCTCTGAACGAAAAAAAGAAAGAAAAATGTGTGTACACTTCAACATGCATGTGGCAGAAATATGAAAACATTTGCATGTGTATCGGCACCAAAATGTAATTACTGCATTAGGCACTGAAAATATTTATAGACTCATATCTCATGTGGAAGACCTGGTTCCAATAATTCTCAGAAAATTGTGAAATTCAGATTTTGTTTTCTTGGGACTAACTTAATTTATTTGAAATTGACAACACATGAAGGACAAAAATCAAAGCCCGTCAACTTTCCACCACCCCAGCTAATGACCTATTAAAGTTGTGAGTATATATTGTGTCTCTATATGTAGGTGAACACGGTCATGGGGAAAGAAGGAATGAGGTACTTTTCTCATCATTGTAGCCAAATAATGGGAAAGCAGCAACTTCAGGGAGAAATGGTTTTGGGGGGATTCACACTTTCATGGTGGAGTGAGATGGTATTGTCCATGGAGGTAAGAATGTGAGTGTTCACATTATGATGAACCAGGAAGCAGCCAGAACACACAAGGAAACTGGGGACCACAAGGCTCCCCTACCCAAGCAACCCGTTCCCTTTAGCCTGACTTCACCTCCTAAAGGTTCCCCAACCTTCAGAAATAGCATCACCTATGGGGTACAAAGTATTCAAGCACATGAGCCTGTAGGAGACAGTCCACACTCAAGGCTAACAGTTATCCTCTGTTCTCCATAGGCTCAAGACCATCTCATAATATGTATTATATTTAATCTAACTTCAAAAGTCCCCAAAGGTTTCACAGTTTTGAGCAAAATCTCATAGCCATGAGCCCCTGTGAGGTAACAAGAATATGTCATCCTCCCATGGCACAGAGGAAACATTTATATTCCAATCAAGAGGAATGGGGTACAGGGAGAAAAGTTCAGCCAAGACCAAATCCAAGACACTGCAACTCTTCATCTACAGCATTTAGGCCTTCTGGTAGCATCATCGGGTCTCTAGTAGGCGTAGGGATAATTCTGTCTTGAACAGGCTCCATGCGGTGCTGCCATCTTTTCTCAGCAGAAGTTTCATGTTTATGACATATCCTGGTGTCTCCATTGCAACTTGGGCTTCACTTTCAGGGTTACAAGCAAGCACCTGTCAGGTTCCTTTTGCAAAGGATCTAACCCTGCTATATACGATAGTGCTTGATCTCACCAGTGTTTTTTCCAGATCTTCAGTATAAGGCCTGGTGACCCCATACCTCCTGAATTCTGTATACCTACAAACCCCGAAAGCAGCACAGGGATGATGCTCTGTTCGCCTCACTGAAGATGCAGACACCTCTCACTCGAGCCAGTACTACAGTGGCATCCAACTGAACCTGGGAAAACACTGCCCCAGCTTCTGGGTTCCACAAGGACACATGTGTGGACAAAGGGATGGTCAACTAAGAGCTGAAGAATCATTAGGAATCATTGTGGGAAGGCGATGGGATAGGGTGTATTTAAGGTAGAGAGAATGCAACTGCAAAGATCCTACGACTCAAGCACTTAGGAGGAGAGTCCTGGAAGGGTGGTCATATGAAGGACATGATACTGGGGTTCGAGAACAAATGAGAACTAAAGAAAGGTATTGCCTTGAGGAGAAGGCAATGACACAAGACTCATGGGGGAGATTGTCCAGAGTATCTGCTCAGAGCTTACCTCCAGCTCTCCAGTCCAGCTCAGCCTTGCCAGCGAGCCTCTGGCTCCCAATGCCAACTGATGCTCTTCAGTATGACACGGAGGAAAGTGAGCATGCCCTTCTGCAAGTGTGATGCTAAATGGTATTTCACTTGAGCGAGGAAACAGTCTCTGCAAGGGCTCCCGCCACATTGTCATTCTGCACAGATGTCTGCACGCACTTGACATAAGAAGATTCAATTAAACTGCCTGGCCACTGTTTCGTGATACAACCACAGGGTCAAGGCATGATGGGAATATTTAACTCCTGGTGTGAGCAGAGAGTAATTGGAGCAAGCTGGAAAATGTGTCAGCATCTGAAGGATGTGGTGATCATTTAGCAGAGGGGCTCGTGGGCAAGACTGGCCAAAGGGGAACAATGACCTAATGCACTTGTCTAAGGAGCCTAGGAGCATCGTACCCTCAACAAGGACAGAGTAAAAAGCACAGTTGCTTGTGCATGGACACTGAGGATGAGAAAACCCATGTGGGTACCACTAGTTAGGTGTTCGTAGGGTTTAGGAGGTAGAAACTGGAGGATCAGAGTTCAAAGCCAGCCTGAGCTACATAAGGTGATAACAAAACAGACACTTTCAGGCCCTGCCTCCCACCCCAACACACACACACACACACACACACACACACACACACACACACACACACACACACATCATTAGCATTCCTTGTACATCCACATTATAGATGAAAACGTTAACTGGCCGTGCGTGCCTTAAATACCAACACTCGGGAGGCAGAGGCAGGTGGATCTCTGAGTTCAAGGCCAATCTAGTCTACACAGAGAGTTCCAGGACAGCCAGGGCTACATAGAGAACCCAGTCTCAATGCCCCTTCCTCAAACAAAAGTGTTGTAGGTCTGGGAAGCTGAGAGGTCTCTGACTCAGCCCTATTATCCCCTACTTCCTATTTTCGCTGAATTATTCTACTCAGTGGATGCTGGATGCCCTAATTACCAGAATGAAGGTGAAAAAATTAATATAGAGAAGGAGAAGGCTTGCTTTAGGTGGGAGGGACAAGGATGATGGGCAAATGTCCTCAGGTGGCTGGTAAGTATGCCAGGCCTAGGACCTACCTATAGGGGGCGCAGTTACCTTTCACTCATACTAGTATTGACATGTACAAAAGAGTGTATGGTTGATGTGTTCATTCACTTATTTATTTTTGCCATGCTAGGAGAGGTCAAACTCAGGGCTCTGTAGGTACCATATAAGGCCTCTACTGCTGAGCTATACCTCCAGCCCTAAAAGGAAAGTGGGCTCTGGAGCAGGGAGGCTTGTGGAGGGGGACTTAATAAAAGGATTCTCGTCTAAGTCACCCCAAAGAGCTGGCTAGCAGAAGCACAAAGCACCCCTTCTCTCCTCACTGCAGGAACTCCAAACTTTCCTGTCTGTTTCCCATCATGCATTTCTACACCCGGCTTCAATTTCAGATTGCTTTGGAGCAGTGGTTCCCAACCTTCCTAATGCTAAGACCCTTCAGTACAACTCCTCATGTTGTGGTGACCACCCCCTCCCAGGCATATGATTACTTTCATTGCTACTTCATAACTGTAATTTTGCTACTGTTAATGAATTGTAATGTAAAGATCTGTGCTTTCTGATGGTCTTAGGTGACCCCCGTGAAAGAAGGGGCAGTCCAAAGGGGTTGGGACCGGAAAGTTGAGACCTGCTGCTTCAGGCAGTCCTGTTAATTCTCCACCTCCTCTGGACTTCTGGAAGAGGACTGTCTTGGAGGGGCTGCCACTTTGGCCTCGGCCTGCTCCTGCAGTGAGCCAGATCCTGGGGAAGATATGGAGATTGTCCAGCCATGGTCCCAATCATCTGAGAGCCCCATTATAGCACAGGGAACCATCAAGGCATTGGCCTTCTAGTCAGTATCCCAGTTTCCATCCATGTGAGGATTCAGAGCTTAACCCCCAGGCCCATCTCCATGTTCTCTCCTCCTTTCCCCAAGCCTACTTGAAAAATACTTCTAGAAACTATATGCCTCTTCCTGGCCTCCCTGAACAAAGCAATTTGTAGATATATCTTTCTTTTCAATCACCAGCTCACAAAAAAGGACACCGAGACTTATTATTAATGATGAAAGTTTGGCCTTAGCTTAGGCTTGTTTCTAACTAGCTCTTTTAACTTAAATTAACCCATATTTTTTAATTTACATTTTTCCACACACTCACTACTTCATCTCCTTTTTGCCCATCCTAGTTCCTACGCATCTAGCTGGCTACTCTGCCTGTCTTCTTCCCAGAGCTCTCTGTTTCTAGAAGTTCCTCCTAACCTCATCCTGCCTAGCTAATGGCTGTTTAGCTCTTTATTAAACCAATCATAGTGCCACATCTTCACACAGTGCAAAGGAATATTCTGCGATAGCAATTGTCATTTTGCAGCCTCGAAACTACTGCACTTTGGTTTTAGGTGCTCAGGATTGAGTCGGGACTGGTGTGTGTTGAACATGTATTCTGCCACTGAGCTACAACTTAGGACTGTTGTAACCGTACCATCTGCACCCCTGGACCCACGATTCCAATCCCTTCTCCACAGAGATGGCAAGAACAGCATGGCCTTTGCCAAATCCTGCTTTACTCGCCACTGAGCTTGCATGGTCTCAGGAAGAGGAGAAGAAAGTCTTGGGAGATCCCTTCTCCATCCACCAATCTGACCCCATGTTTGCAGCATGGGCCCTTAACTCTACACCTTTTTGTCAAAGTCCCTCACTCCGCTTCTGGGGTCACCTACCAATGCCATACCTCACTGCCCCTTCTTGATTGACAAGAGAGGCGAGTTTTCCTGCCATCTCCTCTGTCACTATTCCATGAGGGAGTCTCTTGGAGTAGTGCTACTGTAGCTCGTGACCATTTGAAACCACTCACCATGCAAACACACCTCTGGATGCATCTACGATAGTTTCCAGAAAAGTTCAACGGAATGGGGGAGCCACGCTCTGCATGTGGTGACATCATTTCATGGACCGGTTTCTCAGGCTGAATAGAAAGGAGACAGCAAGCTGAGTACCAGCATCCACCTCTCTTTGCTTCTTGACTGGGCTCCTGCTGGCCTCTGTTCCCCTCCACAGTGGACTGTACGCCATGGCATCGTGAGCCAGAGTCAACCCTTCCTTGCTTACAATGCTGTTGCCAGGATATTGTCGCAGCAGTCAGCCAAATAACTAATACACCCCCCTCCATCACCCCTTGGCTTTAAAACTCCTCGAGAACAAAATGATGGTGCCTGGGAAAGAGGCTGCTTGAGAATGAAGCGGGACACCTTCTAGCATCTTCAGATACGAAGTCCCCGCAGTGGCAGACTGCAAGGCTCGAGAAGGTCTACACCCCTTCCCCAGCATCCCAGACCTCTGTCGCCAGTGTTCCCTTCTCTTAAAGCATGTTGACTCTGGCAACACAGCAGGTCCTGCTGTTCTGTCTTCTCAGCGTTCTCCAACAGGCCAAACAGGCACCAGCCTCGGTGCTTTTGCACTGGTTGCTGCCTGTGCCTGGAACTCTGTTCCCTCAAATGTCTAGACGATGGACTCCCTCCCTCCTTCTCTGCTCATACACCTTCCCAGATAAGACTTCTCTGACCTTCCAATAAAAACAAGCGCCCTGCTGTAACATTTACCACCCCCTCCCCAGTGTTTCTGATGCTCAGTACCAGCTTCTGACCAGGCATTGTCTGTGCTCTTGCGCATCTGTGGATCACCTGACTCTCACTAGAGTGTGAGCCTCTTGAAGACAGACATTTGCTCTGTTTTGTTCTCTCCTGTATTCCCAGTACTTATGACAGCACCAGCTTACAATAGCCTCAACAAATACTTGAAAATGCATGCAAGCATGAAGAGCAAATACTAATCTCCAGACACTCGGTACGCCAGCTTTATGGTAAAGACAAATGAAACTGTTGACAATTACATTGTCATCTTGACACACCTTCAAGTCCCAGATTTGTATTAGTAACAAGGATAACAAATATTAAGCACTGACTGTATACTAAGAACTACATACATGCATACATACGTATGTACGTACATACATACATACATGCATGCATACGTACATACACACACACACACACACACACACACATTCCTGTACTGTCATTACCAGAATGGAAGTTATGATTTCATTTGGTAAATGAGGTGAGAAGGAAAGTTACATTATTTGCTCAACAACACACGGCTGCCCAGAGGCTGAGTTGATATTTGAACCAAGTCATCTATCTCTGGAGTGGGCAGGGGCAGCAAAGGTTCTCAGGCCATCTCCAGCCCATTGTATGTTAGCTTGCAGCCTGCAAGCTAAAAATGGGCCAATCCTTCCTTCCTCCCTTGCTTCCTTATTTCCAATATATTTTTAAGTTTTATTTGCTTGTTGTCAGTGGAGGGGATTGAACCCTGAGCCTTGCACACCTCCAGCTATAACATTTTAAAATAATTAGAAAAAGTATGCAGCAGGGACTGTATGTGGTCCACAATGCCTAAAATTGGAAGAGATGGACAAAAGAAAGCCCAGAGATCAAGTGATACAGCCAGAAAGAACAAAATCACAGTGTGAGAGGCCGCTTACACTCACTTAATCCTGGTTCCTTGTTCTCTGCAGTCACAAAAAGCAGCAGCTGAGTCTTGAGGTCCGGGGCACTGGGTTCACACCACCCAGAACTCACCAATTCCTAGCCTAGCAGGAGGGGCGGGCAGAGGAGGCTAGCTTTCCCCTCAGCCTCACTTCCTGCTCCTTACAGGTCTTCCCCAGCCTGGCAGAAGACCTGTTTCTTCCCCCTCTATCCTTACCACTCCGCACACCACTGCGGCTCACATGCGCGCACACGGGGACCGATGGATCTACGCTTTAGGAGAAGGGTAAAACTGACTTGATGTGAGCTGAGCCAGGGAAGCACAAGGCCTCCGGTGGTTTCCTCGCCGCATCACACAGGAAGAGCTGGACCACATCCGGAGTCTGCTGGGCCTTTTGATGTTCCCCTTCCTGCTAGCAGCAAGAAGGATGGAAGAGGGCTTCACCTCCTCCGTGCAAGCTCACAACAGCAGGCTTTCACTCTCGCTTGAAATGAATCCGAGATTTAAAAAAACAAGGAAGGGAGAGAGGAATGATTGTTGTCTGTGAGCTTTCTGAAACGAAGGGACCCTTTAAAACCAACTACAGGGTATGTGAAAGAGTTCACAAACACCTCAAAAGGGCATATCTACAGGGGAGCCCGAGGCTGTGCTGGGGCCCATTCAGGCGGGGTCACGAGCTGCCCCCAAACACACACACACACACACACACACACACACACACACACACACACACACACACACCTGAGACCTGAGTTGGGATTTCTGAAAACCAGGACTCCAGAACTGACGTTGCTTTTGTCAGCTAGGGTACCAGATCTGAAATGTCCCAAGACTCTCTTGACAGACTTACATTTATGGTCCAATTTGTAGCACCTGCCAATGGTCTGTGAGAGCCCAGGAACAGGTATGCAAGAAGTTAATAGTGGCTATCCTGGCTTAGCCCTAAGAGAAGAGGGAGACAGGAAAAGTCCTGTCTGCTCCAGGGGAACAGCGGGAAAGAGAGCCTATGTGGGCGGGGGTCTTTCTCTTAAAGGGGTCCTTTGAACCTGCGTGCTGACCAGGGTACTGCCTGAGTGTATTAATGCCAGGGGGCGGGGCAGGCCAACACAATGCCCGAGTCCTTACAGCCTGTCCGTGTGTTACGTGTGTCTGTGGTGTGGTGTGGTGTGCTGCTCACATTCCCTGAGACATTTTTGACTGGTTCTACCTATCTAACTCCAGCTTCTGTGTGTCTTGCCACCGGAAGGCTGCCAGGCAGAAGAGCAAAGGTATCCGCACGCTTGCTTCCTGTGTGTGTCCTACCAAAGGTCTGGGAGTAAAGCCAGGCACCCTGCTCCAAAGACAGGCACGCCCTCTGGCGCCTTGCACATTTGCCTGGCCTCTTCCTACTTCTTGCCTTCCCTTACCACGGCCTTCTGAAAGTGCTTCCTTAATGAATCCGTGCCCTGGAACCCTGTCTCAGCATCTTCGGGGGAAATACGAGCAAAGGCACTCATTGTTTATTTCCTTTCCTCCACCTGTACGCTCTTGAGGGCCGGGAGCTTTGTTCAGTTTTAGATTCTCAGCAACTGGAACAGTGCCTCGCATACAGAAGGAGCTCAATAGATACATATCGAGTGGCTGCATAAATGTATGCTCATGGGCGGAAATAAATCGGCACTCCTTCTCAAGAGTGCTCTCTTCATTCCATTTTATGGGCCACTGTATGACTAGGGTCATCAATAACACAAAGTTGAGGCTGCGTTAGTATTTACTGATCGATTCTTACGGCCCTTGTCTGCTCTACCCAGCTTCTTTTGAGGAAACTGTTAATGTGTCTGACCTCTCACCTGGTTGTCAGCCCTAATGGTCTGACCCTGAGGGTCTCAGAGCTACACAGGTCCTAGGCAAACAGTGAAAAGGGCCTCAGATAGATAATCAGGATGACAAACTTTCAGCTTCTTCCCCACCTTTCTGACCGACACAGGCTCAGCAGGTTTTTCTCTTGCAGTCATGGCTCCAGTCATGCCAACAGGTGCTGGCTAGCCAGATGTACTCAAGGCAAGTCTTAAACATAACGGCATGTAGGAGCTTATCCGCTCCCTTTCTTTGTTTAAGCTGCCCCATGCCACAACACTACACCCCTAGCCCTCTGGGGGAAAATGAATTTTGGTTCCATTTCCACTCTACAGGGAGTCTTTTTCTCCATGAGCACCCCCCCCCACTGTGTGTGGAGGGGTGTGGGTGTGTGTGAGAGTGCATGTTTAATTGTGTGAGTGTGTATTCATGGATGAGTGTGTATGTGTGTGAAAGTGTATGTGTTTGAGTATGTGAGTGTATGTATGAGTGTGTGAGAGAGAATGCATGTGTATGTGTGTGAAAGTGTGTGTTTGAGTATGTGAGTGTATGTATGAGTGTGTGAGAGAGAATGCATGTGTGTGTGTTTAAGTGGGTTTGTGTATGTATGCATGTATAAGTTGTCTGTGAGTCTGTCTGCTTCTTCACTTGTAATGACGTTTGTTACCTGTTGCTGTCCATTGTGTTTGAGATTTTTGCCTGCCTTTTAATTCTTCAACTGGAGGAGAGGATGAGCCCTGATCAAGACCCCTAAATAGTAAGAGCCCTACCTGTCTCGTCTTTTCCTCCTCCTTATGTCATGGGCTCAAAGCAGGTTCTCGGCACAAGAGTGTTGAACTGAGAGTGTCATTTGTTGTTTGGTTCCATGATGCAGCAGCCAGCCCCGCTGTCATCTCTTGGTCAGCTTGCTGGTTACCCTGCAGCATGGTGAGCGTATCCCTTTGAAGGATCCTTAAATTTCACCCCAGAAGTCCCAGATATCTCAGCAGTTACAAAGAAGGGACTGATATAATGGTCTTGCTGAGACCTGCCATTCAGAAAGAGTGTGACAGTGGCCTCCCAAAGAGGAGAAAAAGCCATGGAAGGACCGTTGAAACTTTCCAGAGACCGGTGCCAGGCATGGTGGTGCACACCTGTGATCCCAGGACTTAGGACACTGCTGCAGGAGGATTCCAGGCTGGGAGTACTTGGGTCCACAGGTCAGGGCAAGACATTGGTGGGATTTGTCTCAGTTTGGACTGCTATTATGTAACAGAATGCTAAGTGACTTTACAACAGAAATGTGCCTCTCAAGGCCCTGAGCCAGGAAGTTCAAGGTGAAGGCCAAGCTGTGATGAGACCTCGCTCCCTGCTTTGTGGTGGCAGAAAAACAAGCCACCACTTTCCTCATTATATGTGAACACCCATCCCCTTAAATGACTTCCCAGAGACACAAGCCTAAAGCTGTCAAACTGGGGATCCTGGTCATGGGTATTCAGTCCACACATGGTCGTCATTCTTTTCACAGCTGGTGGTGTTCACAGTCTCTACGCGTTTTTACTCCTCTGAGCCTCACCACTCAGGATGGAGTATTGTGGGTCTGGAACCGTGGGGGCGCCAGTGAGACAACCCAAGGCCTCCTTAAGTTTAATACCCTACACTTCGTGCTTCAGTGCCTTGAGCTGGTCCTAGAGGTGGGTAGTACTGTCATGCCCATTTTGTAGAAAAGAACATTGAGACAAAGAGGGCAAAAGCCACCCCGTTGGGTCAGTCTAGCTACATGAAATGTCTCTCTCAGAAGCACTTGGGAATAGACTGGTCCCTTGGAAGCTGTGACCTGCTTGGCTAGGGAAGGCTCTAGGAGCAAGGACTTCTCAGGGAGAGTTTAGCCTTTGCCTCATCCATTTTCTGTTGCTGAAAGTAGAAACCCAAGAGTGGAAATTTATATAAGAAAGAAAAGTTTATTTGGCACTAAGCCTTGGTAGGATAAAAGGGGTTCTGGGAGTGTGTGAGGTCACAGCAAGGAGGAAGTGTCTGGGTACATCTGGGATGAAGTTCCAACAGGAGGGCAGGGCAGGGGACATGATTGAGTCAGGGCACAGATTCCGGCGGGGTCATGTCACTCAATTCAGAGGTTCAAAGAAAATTTGCCAACACTAAAAGTTTTCTGCAAGCATAGGGACCAACAAATACTTTTAAAAATCAAACATAATGTATCCAGGATGCTTCTGTCAGCTTGGTTCCTGCCGTACCATGTGACTTCATGTTCTGAACACACTTTATACACTGTGTGGCTCCAGGAGCCCTGTGAGCCCTGTCCGACACCCCTCTGCCCAGGCTTGAGACTATGTGACTATGTGATGAATTGCAGAGTTTTTAAAATTGTGAATTCAGTGTTTTCGACTCCAGAAGCACAATGGTTTAATTAACCGAAAACAAAGAATATTTTCCTACCCTCATTCCTCAGCACTTGTCAAATTGGTATATATTTGGATTGTGCTGGTTAGAATATTTGATTTTAAAAATTGCTCTTTGAGTTGCCAATTTGAGCTTCATTAAAAGGATCATTAAATGAATCTTGGCTTTGGGATTAGGAAAGAATTTTCAGCAATTTCTAAAATAGCCTTGAACATATTTCTGCCACTTTGTACTAAGTGGTTATGCAAGTGGCTTTCTTGGCACTGATGACTATAGAATCAAAATATTGATCAACTCTGGAAAACCATTGAAATGCTCTGTCCTGTAGTATCAAAAATTCAGCCAAGATTTAATGCTCCTTTTCCATTTTACTTTTAGAAAGAATAGTTTGTTGAGTGTATTGTGAGGGCCAGTAGGCTAGGCCTTCAGCCATAATTATTTCTTTTATGTAAATATAAGCATATCCATCTCATTACTATGCAAATTTGTTTTCCTCTCTAATAAATGGTAAAATGATATATCTATAAAAATTGCTTTAAAATAAATTCCTTTACAATTTGTTATTAGTAAACATTTGGTTTGTAGACATATTTTATATTTCTACATAGTTAGGGCCACATAGAAATTTCTTGGGTGAAAAGGAATCACAATAGGGAAAAAAACGTTTAAGTCCTGAGCTAGGATGTAAGTGAAGCCTCTGAGAAGGCAGGGTGTAGAGTCAAAGGTGTGATGGATGTGCCAGCATGGGGTAGCCGATGTTTGTGGGGAAGCACTTTGGAAGCAGGAAAGAAGAAGTCTATCAGAGAGGTGTCGGGATTGATGAATAAGGGGTCATCCAGGGAAATGATCAAGCTTTCGTAGCAACAGAAGCTTCTCTTAAGAACCCCAAATATTAAGTGATGGCTAT